AAAAAAAAAAAAAAAAAAAAAAGTCATACTTAAGCGAAGAGTTCATACAAAGAAAGCAGAGAATTGAAGTTCCGGCCGTCCCTCGTGCTCATGGACCGTTGAGAACAAACCCGAAAAGGTCGCCCAATGAGTGGCAAACAATTTCAATGATTTGGCAGAGTAGCTTTTCTTTTGGACTTTGTATTCCCAGTCTGCAAAGATTGCCTGTTTGATGCCATATTTAACCTTCGCTCTTACCATGGGAGGTGTCAAGCGTTCCCCCCTTCTCACCACTGAGTTTCTTAATGACCATAAGGTCCACAGAATGGCTCCTCTGATTGTCTCTTCTGCATAACTCATCAGGCGTCCTGACGAGTGGTTCGGGCCACTAATCCCATTAGGATGAATTGATCCGTCCACCTTGAATCCGCTCCTGGGACAGGAATATTTCCTCCCCTCCACCATTCCCAAAAAGGCCGGGAAAGGTCGCAAAGGAGAGCAAAATGGTGCAAGTCTTCGATCCTCATCCCTGGGCATATTTCACAAGTTGAGGTTGTCTTAGATGTCCTCCTGGAGCACCATGCCGCCACCGGAAGAGACATGTGCATCATCAACCACAACAAGCTCGCGTGTTTAACTACTGCCAAATCCATCAATTGTTTCCAGAATGCGGGCAATGCCCCAACTATTATGAGCACAGAGTCATGTATCCAGTTAGTTGACATCCATCTGTTTGCCACTCGCCAGTTGATATCCAATTCTGGGGTAGCTAATTGGTAGCCTAGTTTGGTGGTATACTGATACAGTGGTACTATCTGTTGTCTCTTCTGGGGGTTCTCCCATCCCCAACTCCTCGGATCCACAGACAGCGAGTAGGATGAATAAAAAAGACAGTATGGTCTATAGCCATCTTCATATTGGAGCACACACACCGGAGTCAGTTCTTGAATAGGGGGGACCGACAAATGTTGAGGAGCCGGGGTAAGTTTTTCCCTCATTGACATTCCTCCACCCTGTGTGTTCCAATTGGAGAAAGGGATGTTGGCCATCGGGGAATAATCTTCCATTTTCCATATTACGGCCGGTTCGTGATCCTGTTCCCGTTTGTACCATGTTCCTTTCTGAAATGTCAGGCCTCCCAACATAGTTTGAACCCAATTTTGAGAAACTGCTTGTTGTAGTTGGAGCAAATGCTCCCTCTGATGCAAAAGGCCTACAAGGGTAGGAGCAATGTCTAAAAAAGGTTTCCAATCAGAATTGTGCACATCCCAGATATCAACGAGAGTTCCCATACCGCGTGATATCCATGCATCCCCAAAAGCCCCTGGCCCGAAAAAAGCGAAACTTGTTGCATCTTGTGAGAGAATACTGGGATTTTCGAATAGGGGCTGAGTGAGTATGCGGTCCATCACAAGCGGGGGCTGAAGCAATCTAGGTGGCACCCTGTTCCAGGCTGTGAGCACACCAGCCCAAATCCCTTCCCCCATTCTTTTCCTAAGATACGTAGGAAAGAAAATCGATAGTCACAGATGTCTGACATTGCTCCAATTCCTGTGTGTATAAATCTCGAATTCTGCCAACTGTCGCCAAGCTGTCAAAGGACCCACCGCCACTGCCCATGGAACCCACCTTGCCAGCAACGCGGCTATTTGTCGCTCCGGGTCTAATAATGACAAGCCACCATTTCTTTTGGTTTGAGCGATCACTTCCCAAGCAACTTTTGGCAGAAAATTGTCATCATTCATTTCTTCCTTCCATAAGTAATGAGTCAATAGATTGCGCATCATTCGAAGGGAGGCAACATCCAATTGAAAAATGGCTCTATGGTACCAGATTGTAGAGAGAATGGAATTATTTAAAACAATCACTCGGCCGAACAGGCCGACTCCTTTGTGCTTAGTCCATGGTTGCAACGCCTCTCTTACTGACAACAGAGCTAGTGAGGAATCTGTCATCAGTTGTGGAGTAAAGGATATTTTGTGACCCAACAAGCGTTCTTGTTGTGTGGGAACCACCACTCGGAGTCCCCACTCGGGAGCAAGGACCCCGGGTGGAATTAGCACTGAAGATTTGGACCAGTTGACTGCGGCCTGCGAGATCTGACAAAAGAGATCCACTCTGTGTTTCAATGCTTGAAAGACCTGATCGGACACCGGTGTAATTGCGACTGAATCATCAGCAAATGCCTCGGATTTCAGGGTTTGTCCGGAGGGAAGCAGAAAACCTGGTATGAGAGGATCGACCCGAATCATAACATGAAGGATTTCAACATACAATATGTACAAATAAGGGGCCACCGGGCAGCCCTGACGGACGGATCTAGACAGAGGGATGGGACAGGATAACGACCCATTAACAAACAGTCTAGATGAAGCATTCGTGAACAAGGTCGTAATCGCTCGTTTGAACTTCAAACCGAATCCAAATGTTGTCATTGCAGCCATAAGAAACTCCCAACCAACTCGGTCATACGCTTTTTGAAGATCCAACAATATTATGGTCAGTTGCTCCTCTCCTTCGGCCACCAGCTGTATAATCTGTTGAACTGTCATAACATTATACAGGATCTGCCTGTTAGGCAGGAAACCCGTCTGAGTAGAATATATTAGAGAAGGCAAGACCGCTTGTAATCCAACTGCCAGTAATTTACCAAAAACCTTGTAAATAACCGGCATCAAAGTGATTGGTCGGTAGTTACGTACGTCAGTCAAGTCTCCTTTCTTAGGAATAAAAGTTATGATTCCTTCCAATGCAGTTGATGACATCGGTGGCCCAGCCCAGACCGATTTGCAGATACGAAACAGGTCCTGTACAAACTGGGGGCTAAATCTTTTAAACAAAATGGACGGGAGGCCATCCCCCCCTGGCATCTTGTGAGCGGACAAGGATCTGACTGCTTGTGTGACTTTGGTAATCGTAATGTCTGCTTCCAGGTACTGAAACTGACTGTCTGTTAATGTACACTCCACCTTTGACCAAACCTCGGCCGTATATTGGTGGAGTAGTTGTTCCTCTGAGTGTTGGGCTTGTGACGTCAACAAGCTTTCATAGAATAATGAAACGTTTCTTATTATTGATGCGGTATCTATTGCCGCGGGCTCTTGGTCCTGAAATGGGTGCCTCATGGCTAGCATAAGCCGCGGATTATGGCCAGGGCGATGGCTATTAAAGAAAAAGGCTGTCATCCTGTCCCCTTTAACCAACCATGCTATTTTCTTCCTGTGCACTATCGTGCGTATGGCCGGTTGCATTTGAAATGTCAATTTTTGCCTAATTGAGTCCATTGCCCCCATGATTTCCAGTTCGTTGCCCTGTGGCACAACCGCTTTTTCCATCAAGTCTGCGATATCATTATTAAGTCTATCCAATTGCGTTCTTGTGTTAGTTGTCAACATCTTCTTCATGGCCATCCCTCTGGCGAAAATCGTTCGCATACCTCCTTGATACCAATCGGTAAGCGAGGGGAAGAGAGATCTTGCTCAGCGCCAGTTTGGCCAAAATTCTCTCAGAAAAATGCCAAATTCCCGTGTGTACAACACCTACTCAGGCAGTACGGCTCGGCCAGTACCCGCCCTAACTGTAGAATGCATAAAAAATTCTAAAAAAAAGGAAAAATGATCGGAACCAGCAAAAGGGAGTACAAAACATCTAGACAGTCTATGCAGCAGCACATCCGATGCCAGAAACAAATCTATCCTACTTCGCGGGATATATGCTTGCTCTCTTGCTCCAGCTGCAAAAAAAGTGTAACCTTTTTCGAAGGGGTGCAGAAGGCGAAAGACATCTGTGAATCCGTGTACTGAGCAAAATTCAGACAGATGGACAGCATCCGTCGATGCAGGGCCTAATCTGAGAGAATCAGCCCCCGGTATAAGCACCGTATTCCAGTCGCCACCCAAGACCAAATTATCCACCGCTGGAATCTTCCATGGCAATGATCTAAAGAGCTCTATTCTAGCTTGCACAAATTTGGGGGCATACAAATTGAACACTGCCCATTCCTGTTGGTGCATCGTGAATCTCACCCTGATCCATCTACCCAAATGGTCCATCCTGTAATCCGTGACGTCGATCGGAGCAGCCCGTGCAAACAGCACTGCCACTCCACCTCTAGTACCTTGGGCCGGGGCCCAAAGCTGCTGCCCTGACCACCACCCCATCTGCTCCAAGATTGCTTCTTGATCCAATTTCGTCTCTTGCAACAAGACAATCTGCACTCCTTTGTTCCTTGCCAATGTCTTGACAAGAGATCTTTTAATCGCAACTCGACGAGACCCAAGTCCACGAATATTCCAAGAGATGATACGCAATCTGTCCGTGGATTTCAGTCAGTCCAATCCTTGCACTTAAGCATAAGGAAGTTATTGGAGAAAAAACTTTTGTGCCAAGGAATGTTTGCGTCCACTTGCTTGAGAATCCATCCGTTCCAACAATCATAAACTTTTGTGCCCAGTGCTGTCTGGCCATTCGGGTTGTTGAAGAGGGCAAGCGAAATTCATCTCAGACCTTTGAGCGGTGCTTCCACTCTTGTTGTTGAATTGACCACAACGTCTATAATTGGAAAGTAAAGAATGTCAGTTCTTCCTTCGTCATTAGTTGGTGTCAACCTGATCTAGTCCATTTCCGGATTTGCTCTCAGTTTGAGTGCCGGAGTCAGCCATTTTGTAATTTCTGTAAAAACAACTCCAGGTACAGGATCTTCATGAAGTTTGAAGTGCGGAATCGCCAGATGACCTTGGTCAAACATTGCCGCCATCAATTTGAGTTCGCCATCTGTTGCTGAAAAGATGAGAGGGACAACTACACAAGGCTTGCCTCCTGCCATAGCGTCAAGTATTGAGCCCGGAAAGACTGCAGCTCGTACATATTGTTGCTGAGGCTGGATTTCATCCTGATGCTGAGAGCGTGCGAATGTGTCAATCTGTTTACCTTTATGTTTTTGAACCAGTTTGTGATCTGTTTGCAGCTGACCTTGTTGCGACCCCTGTTCTGTGAGCCTGTACTGTTCTGTTTCATTTTCATCGTCACGAATGTCCGCCCACTCCTCTCTCTCCTTATTGTTATCCGCCTGCTTCCCTTGTCCTGGTTTAGCATAAGGTTTGTAGGTGACCTTATTCGGCCCTCCGACCAATATTTTGCGGCGGTGAGGTTGGAGGGAGCTTTTCTGCTGAAGCAAATGCTCTTCTTCACCAGGAATCGCTTGCTGCACTTCTGCGATCCCACTGTCCAGTTGTTCCTTCCTAAGTTGTTCTTGCGTAATTATATCAAGACGGCCGTCATCATCGCCAAGAGGTCCCTTTTCTGTTTCCATCATTTGAAGAATCGCATGGTCATGACGCGTCCCTACCCCCGGTCCCCCTGACTCCGAAGACGATCCATCGCCAGCCCCCTTAGAGGCTGGCGCCTGGTCTCCCACTGGAAGAAGGATGCCTGCGGCTCCCGCAGGAGTCGATGCGATTCCTCCCAATGGGAGAGGGTCGTTTCCAGTCCCAGAGGATACTGGCGGGGGGCCTCCACCAGTTGTGGTGAGAGGAGTTTGTGCTGTCCCAGTCGGTGTGTTAACAGGTCCTCCCCCAGACCCAACCGGAGCCGGGAGAGGGCCTGTGCCCCCTCCCCCGGACCCAACCAGAGCCGGGAGAGGGTCTGTGCCCCTTCCCCCGGACCCAACCGGAGCCGGGAGAGGGCCTGTGCCCCCTCCCCCGGACCCAACTGGAACCGGGAGAGGGCCTGTGCCCCCTCCCCCAGACCCAGGCGGAGCAGGGAGAGGGCCTGTGCCCCCTCCCCTGACCCAGCGAGAGCCGGGAGAGGGCCTGTGCCCCCGACTGGCACCGACGAAGGTCCTGCCATAGATGAACCCTTCGAGGGGGCCGACAAATCTTGCAGTCTTCCCTGTTTATTAGGACACTGCTTGTCTCCAGAGGCATGACCAGACCATCTACATTCGCAGCACCATGGCGTGTCTTGTGTAACAATTTCAATAGTGTGCATCCCGTGGGGAGATCTCACTTTGAGGTTTTTAGTAACCCTCGTTTTTTATCTTGGATGAAGGTCATACCTGCGGTTCATCAGTCTGGGCGCCGCCTTATTCCTTTCTGGTGGATAATCTTTTATCACTGCAGCCTTGAGAAATGGCATTACCAAGTATGGAACCCTGACTGCTCTTATCCAAAAGCGTTGAGCTTGCAAATCTTGCTTTGCTTGCTCCTGTTCTACTTGCGTTGCCCAAGATCGATACAGCACCTTACACGGTCTACCATCCACCAACGCATTTTCCTCCTTTTTAAGCGTGTTCACTAACCAATCCCGCAAAACATGATTGACTGCCAAGTATGATATCATGTTTGCACCCTCAGGCTTTACTCTGCCACGCTGTCCTCCCACCATATCTGGGTCCCATCCATTTTCCATAGTCCGAAGCCAGCCTACTTTCGCAGCAAATGTGGCATCTGCACCCGAACCTTGAAAAACCACCAACAATCCATGCCGTCTTAAGTAATCTACTGTAATATCAGCCGCTCGTGGATCCAACTCGACCACCACATCATTCGAATCATCCCTTGAAGTGACAATATACTGTGCGGGCATATCAGAATCCTCTTCACCAGAGAGGAAGCAATGTCTGACCATTTCGCACAACTCGTTCTTTTTTTGGTCCATCGTTTTTCTGTTTGCAGTATTTGCACAATTTATTGATTATTCACACATTGTATGTACAATCCTACGAAAAGAAAAGAGGAAGCTGAACAGATATCCAGACCTAATTCGTAAAAACAATTGAATCATTCCCACTGGGAACCCTACAGGCAAATCAAAATGTTTGCAATTCACCACAATTCTAACTATCCCTAGAAACCTCTGCTCAAAGTTGCAGACGAAAATTATGTCTCTCAAACAAATATAGTACAAAGGCCGTCCCCGTCTTCAACCGAGAAGTAATTCCAAACCGCACAAAGACCAATTTCAAACCCTCTCTCAAGCCAGCGGTTCAGTCTTTTACCAAAGCAAGGATAATCCCTAAATTACTCGTGACAACAAGTTCATCCAGAAATTGCAGAAAAAACCTAAGAAAACAGTTTTCAAAGTCACAGGAAAAGCCTTGGAAACCTCTTCTCAAGGACACGTACCCGTCACTCGGACAAATATAATACAATGGCCTAAAAGTAATTTTGAACCCACCCTCAATTGTTGGCGACAGCAGACGTCAGCGCTATCTCCCAACCATTGTTATCTAAGGTCGCACACAGGTCAAAAACACTTAATATTCGAAGGAAAGTTCAACCGAAATTCCGCATCCAACAACCCTAAATACAGTCCCAATTTTAAACTCGCGCTTTGCCCAAACGGAAAGCTAAACTGCTTTTATTGAAGTGTTAATTCCACCGAAATTTACACTCATTTTGCCCCAGCAAGCAACTTTTCAAATTCGTAAGCCAAACTCCCCAATTCAACGCGACGACTCAACACCCACGATCCGTTTTCCAAAACGAACAATATCGTAAAACGTGCCCCAAACCTCACAGGCAAAGCCACTAAGATAATCCGTCTCCAAGAAAGGCAACCTCTCAAAAATCGCGACCTATTAATATTTTTCGGACCTAAAAGAACAACTATCTTCACAAAATGAAAAAACCGTTTTAAAAATCCCACACAAAGAGTTCAGACGGTGCACATCCAAAAAGAACGCAACAACAAAAGACACACAGCTCGTTGGTATCCGAGTAAAACTCACCAACTGGGCATTTTAACCGTCTATCTGTCGCAGCATCCGAATACAACAGCAAAAGACAGTCAACTCGTTGATATCCGAGTAAAACTCACCAACTGGGCGTTCCAACCGTCTATTAGTGCACCATCCGAGCGTTTTGACAGTCCGTCAGTCGCTTCTCTTCACAGCCGTATTCACCTCGTTTTCCATTCCATATCCTGATTCCGTATCGAAGCCAGGGGGCAAAGCCCCTGACGGGTTACACATTCTGATATGTACGACGCCCAAGCCCCGCCCTGACGACCACCCCACCTCTGTCTTTTTCCGCACGTGGTCACCACAGGATTGCCAGCATAGCCGACCGAGACCAGGTCATGATAGGAACATGGCAATGCCCCCTTCGCACCTCACTTCCCTACCGTCTCCATCACCCCGCCCGCAAGTTATAGCACAGCGGAGTCACCGCTCACGGCCTGTCTCTTATACACATCTAGATGTGTATAAGAGACAGGATAAGCCTTATAATCTGAAAAGCCCCTGCTATTTTTTTGCAGCTCAGGCCCTACATTCCCTTCCCCCCCTTTTTTTTTTGGTTATTCCCTTCTACGCCCAGTGATCGCCGCCGGTAACTTTGCTCTAGCATACCTATGAATGCCTATGACGTTGGTCCGACGACCTTTGTATACACCGACCGATCCCTGTCTCTTATACACATCTAGATGTGTATAAGAGATCCCTTCCCCCCCTTTTTTTTTTTGTTTTGGTAGGGAGTCTTCTAAGGCCTTTGCCCAGCGGGACCACCCAGGCAATTAAGGGGACATCGACCGCCTACCAACCATAGTTGTATTCTCTGATTACAACTTTGGCCCGTTCCCATGGTTCCGGCTCTTTTCTGTGACCTATTCTATAATTTATTAATTTCTATATCATTTCATGGATGTAGTGGGGCGTGATCCCACTAGCAAAGAGGATGGGACCGAATGCCTGAATCTGGACGTGTTTGTCGATAGGTGCAGGAAATCGAGATTGAACTGCTTATCTGCATCTCTGCATAAAAGATGTCCACATTCAGGCATTCGATCCGACCCTCTTTGCTAATGGGACCTCAGCCCTGGTGTGTCTACAATTCTCTATTTATGCGTGTCATCCTTGCGCAGGGGCCATGCTAATCTTCTCTGTATCGTTCAAATTTTAACGGATGTCCCGAAGGACTGTGTCTACAATTCCTCACACTCCTCTCTATTTTTTTATTTTTATTTTTTTTTTTTGTTAAGTCAATTCATTTACCTGTCAAATCTAGACAGGACGGCCTTTCAGGCCTTTTTTATTGTCATTATAGTATTACGGGGAACCCCGTAGCAGCCACATCCGTGCTCAAGCCTCCAATGAGGGAACATGCGGGAGCTGCACCCACGAGCAGGTGCGATACCTGCTACAGCAGGTGGGCGATACCGGCCAGGGGTCAGCCGGTAGCATCAGGACCGAGCTTCTTCGATGGGCCAGTCACTGTGCCTCCCCTCCGGTCCCCTCCCCCTATGAACATCAGCAGTCTCTGCTCAATGCCACTCGGGGGGACCAACGACATATCTCTAGGTGGCGGGCGCCAAGCTTGCCCAGGAAGGTACATGAGGCCAATGGGGATTGAACCAAAGACCTTCTGAATGCCATTTGCGTGCCTTACCAACTGAGCTATGCCGCTGGATCCTCTCTATTTTTTGAAACAAACCAATTCATTTGGATTAAAATAAAAAAAAAGAAAAAAAGAAACAAACCAATTCGTCCATGAAATCGGGAAAGAGTCCGGAAGACCATATTCCCCGTTTTCGGAGCACAGACAAAACAGTGCTGGTGCTTTAAGTGCCAGTCCTACGGTCATTTGTACACAGAGACGGTGTGCTCCTGCCACCCCTCACGAGCATCCCGCCCCACAGGCCGTTTGCAGAAAGACCCCTTCGTGGATACCCGATGGCGGACAGTTGACCCCGGCCATGAGGGCTGGGTTTTCATCGATGAACCGGGTCCAGGGGGGGGGGGGGGGCTGGACTTGGGACGGCCAGGGGGAACCTCAGTTGGATACTAGACCACCGGAGGCCTGGATCCCACCCAAGACTCTCGAGTCCCATCTGAAACAGCCCCCTGGCGGGACCCCGGGGACCACAGCAAAAGGGGAGTCTTGGGAGAAGATTAAAGGGAAAAAACAAGGAAAAAACAAACCAGATGCGGAACAGAAAAAGTGGCAGGTTTTGGATGCAAACAAGTTTGCCCCATTGTCCAATGTGTCCGGTACGGAACAGGAGAGAATGCAGGAAAACAAGAAGAACCTGGAGATCGTGACGTCAGGAAACCAGAGGGAGCACAGTGAGGGGGAAGAAAAACAGGAGAATCAGAATCGGGAGATCGTGATGTCAGACAACCAGGGGGAGCATAGCAAGGGGGAAGGGAAGGGCCCGGAAACACAGGATGGAGGTACGAGCACGGGGGGGAAGACAGAGGGGGAGAAAGATGCATACTACCAGACAGAAAGGAACCGGGAAGCCAATGGGGCGAACCAAACGGTACAACCGACCCAAGCACAAATGGTGCAACAACAGGGCCAGCAAGAACATCAGAAATGGATGAAACAACTGGCAAGGGAAAAGCAACCTCAGCCAGCACAGCAGACCCTGCCCACCCCGCAGCCATCACACGTAGACAATAGCTCACCACAACCAACGCAGACAGAAGTGCCAGCACAGCCACAGCAGCGGGCGGGACAGCAAGAAGCACAAGCACAGCAGACAACCCGCAGCAGCCAGGAGTCGGACTTCCTCTCCGACGCATTCGGGGACCAGTCCATGGATATCGATGCGCCCCCCCCCCCCCCCCCCCCCCCCCCCCGATGTTGAAATGGCGGACAATCAAACAGATCCGGACGCTCCCCCCCAGGAAATGGACTTGGACCAAAAAATCTAGATAGTTGCAGAATGGATTATTAAGCATCTTCAGTCCGAATCCACCAAGGGGAGTGCAATCGGGGGGGAGGAGTACTGGGACAAGACCTACGTGGAACTGGTCACACTTCTAAACAATAGCCCGACGCTCAGAGCTGCGCTGACATGCGGACCACCGGCTCACCTGACATGGGCACAGAGTTTCCAACGGATTCTGACCATTGTCCGCAGCCGCTTCCGCCCGCCGCCCGCACCAGATGATCAGCAGCCTAAGTCACCTTCTGTCCCCACAGACGGAGCACAGGCGGCCCCGCAAGGGGATCACGGAGAAGAAGGGTTGACATCGAAACGTCTGAAAATGAGACAATTAGTGGAGCGGGGCCTGTTTGAGCTGCCTCTCACTATCCCCGACAGCATTGTAGTGATCCCTATGCGGAAAACAGAGGGCAAATGGGAGATCGGGCTCTCCCCGGTGGGCAAGCATGGGGGGGTGACATTGCAAGGATGGGATTTTCCGGCCCACATCACGGACTCGAGGGAACGGGATAGAGCCTTCACAAGCCAAATGAAGACTTTTGTGCCCGCACACTACGCGCCCGGGGCGAGGGCTGCAATACAGTTTGTGGGCAGCGATCTGCAGATGGCAAGGAATGATTTATACCTGCTTTTTGAGCCCAATAAGACTGCAGATTTGCGCTGGTTTAGTCATAGTGCACTGCTCGAACTGCAGTGCGCAAAAGTTAAAACCAGCGACTATTGGTCTGAGGACGATGTGTGAAGATGCCTGTGCCGGATCTTGCGGAAGAAGATCCTGCTGCTAGATACATGGGACATTAAACAATGGCAATCCCTGTGAGAAATACCTCTAGGACAGCACCCATGACGGACTTAGAAACACTATATTGCAGGAATCCGGCTTGGAAGCAATGCGTCAAAATGACCGACTTGGACCTCCGGTCTATCAATGTGAATGGCCTGACGTAATCTGCGTACAGGAAACCCACCTGCAGGACAAGCCAGAACATGATAGGGCCCACAAGAAAGTCTGGCCCCACTGGGCGGTAAAAACCCACGCCCCCAGGTCCGGATCAGCGGGGGTAGCAATTTGGATTCCCCCAGATTCCAGGTTTGAGGCGGTCTATTGGGTAGCCGACGAGGAGGAGGGACGGTGGATATCAGTATTGGGGATGTTGGAACTTGAACTAGTATGCATTTTGTGCATCTACTCCCCCAACACTGTAGGCGAAAGAAGAGCTTTTATGGCCAATCTTGGAGCACAC